GGAGGAGGAGGAGGAGGAAGGACGAGGAGGGGGGCGAGGGAAGGAGGGTGCAGGGACGCGCAACTTGCAGAGTGGGGGAAAGGCTTTGCGCAATTGGGAGACGCAACTGAAGACGGAAGGCGTGGCGGAAAAGGTGGCGGAGGATTCGAACGAAATTGGGAACTTGAACAAATACAGCCGGAAGGAAATCGGGAAACAATATTGGGGGACACATAACATGTTGCAACATGCTATATCACGTGGGTGGGGAAACGTGCACTCGAGGTGGGATGGGATGATCACCACAACAACATGCTTAAACATTAGCGAAGGCTTGATGAAAAGTTTGTATGTAAGAGGACGACGAGGAAGAAACGGAGGAAGGAGCACGACGAGGACGGCGATGGCAAAGCACGAAAAGACAAGCGGCGGCGACGAGAGGACAGACGACGGAGACGGACGGCGACGGCGACAGCGAAAAGCGTATTCATCGGGTCGGCGCCGATCCGCAATCCACCGATATTCCTTGGGCTGGCGCCGATCCGCCGCGCGTGTGCGTATGCGTGTATATATTCACGTGGAATATATGTATTCTCATAATACATAACGTCTATATACTTATGTACACACCCCGCGTTCCAACACTGATGCTGCGATGCAAGATCCTGGCAATGATAATGATCAGCGCAAGTAGTTGGACAACTTAGACACCCATTGGCCGTGCATGCAAGGCCTGCTACATATTCAGGGCAGTCACGTGTCTTACAAGATACAGCCATATCATTGCTATCGTGTTTCGATGTTGTTTTCGCTTTTCCGCATGGCTATCGTATTTCAACATGATGTTCGCGATTTTTCACACATGAACATCCACATCGTTATTTTTTAACGAAAAGGAGCCTCAGGGATGTGAAGCCTCCTCCTGTAGAGGCACATGCCCGACTTCAGCCCAGGCGCCCCTGAAAGTTCACGCCGCCCCCGGGCACCAGCGGACGCCCCGCCCCTCCGCGCCGCCCTGGCGCTGCGCGCCCGCCCCGCTGGCGCGCAGCGCCACGGCCCCGGTCGCGCGCAGCGGCGGCCCGCCCCGCCCGCCGCGGCCGCCGTCCGCCGGCCCCGCCGGCCGCCCGGGCCGCTCGCCGGCGCGCGGCGGCATGCGTCGCCGCGGGCCCGCGGGCCGCGGGGCCGGGGGGCGGGGCCGTGCCCAGCGGCCCGCCGAGCCGCGCGGGGCATGCCTCGGGGGGGCAGGCCCGGCGGGCCCGGGCGCCCCGCGGGCCGCCGCGGGCATGGGCGCCCGCCGCGGGCCCGCGCGGCGGGCCCGCGGCGCGCCCGGCGGGGCCGCGGGGCGGCCGGGCCCATGTGGGGGGAGGGCCCCGCCGCCCGGCCGGAGGAGGCGCGCGAGCGCCCTGGGCCAAAGTGGCCTGCGCAGCCCAGGGCGGCGGCGTCCTCGTCGTCGCCGCCGCCGCCCCCGTCGTCGTCGCGTTCTTTTTTTTCGGGGGGGGGGGCCTTCCAGGGGCGCTCTCGTTGCCGCGGCTGGATGCCCCTCGACCGTCGGGTCAGAGCCCAGGGCGGCCCGGGGAGGGGGGGGAAGGGGATCGGCGGCGAGCCAGGGAGGGGAGGAAGTGAGGGCGGGCGCTCCCAGAAGGCTCGGAAGTCCCCTGGCCTTCAGAGAAGTCTTCGAACCCCCGCCCGAAGACACAGAGAACCTCTCAGAAGCCCAGAGGCCCAATGAGAAGCCCCGCGCAAGCCTCCCCATGCCCGGTGGAAGCCGCAGCGCGACCTCCTGCAGCCCCTCCAAGAGAAAGCCCTTCGCCTTCCTCATCAGGCGAAGGCCCCCGTGGTGGAATTGGGGGCTGCGCCCTGGAGCCATCCCACCTTTGGCGAGGGGCCACGGCCACATCTCCACCGCCTCGTTCTCAACCGCCACCTCCAATCGTCGCGCAACACTTGCCGCACTAACACCTCCCCCACTCTCTCTCTCTCTTCATTTCTTGAGGCAGCCTCCTCTCGCTCCTTCTCTCCCCCCCAGGGTGTAGGGGGATATAGCCACGCGGTCTAGGGGGACATAGCCACGCCTCCCCGGGGGGGTCCTGCCGGTCGCCTCGGCCCTGACCACATTACAAATGCATCAGTTCGACTCTGGAGCCATCAGCGCCAAGCGCCCCGCAACAGCAGGAGGAGGAGGTGGAGCAAGAGGAGGAGGAGGATGAGGATGATGAGGAGGAGGAGGAGGAGAAGGAGGAGGATGAGGAGAAGGAGGAGGAGGAGGAGATAGTAGAGGGAGAGGAAGAGGAAGAGGAAGGGGAGGAGGACGACGACGAGGAGGACGAGGAGGAGGAGTAGGAGTAGGAGTAGGAGTAGGAGTAGGAGTAGGAGTAGGAGTAGGAGTAGGAGTAGGAGTAGGAGTAGGAGTAGGAGGAGGAGAGGTAACAGGAGAAGGAAGCTGACAAGGACGCGGAGGAGGAGGAGAGGAAACATGATGACGATGATACTGATGCTGCTGATGATGATGACGACGAGGATGATGATGTTGATGATGATGATGATGATGATGATGATGATGATGATGATGATGATGATGATGATGATGATGATGATGATGATGATGAGATGATGATGATGATGCAGCTGATGATGATGATGAGGAGGAGGATGATGATGATGATGATGATGATGATGATGATGATGCTGATGCTGATGCTTATGCTGATGATGCTGATGCTGCTGATGATGATGCTGCTGATGATGATGATGCTGCTGATGATGATGCTGATGCGGAGGAGGAGGAGGAGGAGGAGGAGAAAGAAGAGGAGGAGCAGAAGGAGGAGGAGGAGGAGGAGGAGGAGAAAGAAGGAGGAGGAGTAGGAGGGGAGGAGGAGGAGGAGGAGGGTCGAAGGAGGACTAGATAATAATGATGATGATGAATGATGAGGAGGAGGGGAGGAAGGAGAGGAGGAGGCGGAGAGGAGGTGAAGGAAGGAGCGGCAGGGGCAGAGGAGGAGACGGATGAGGAGGAGGAGGAGGAGGAGGAGGAGGAGAGGAGGAGAGGAGGAGGATGAGGAGGAGGAGGCACGAGAGAAGACGGGGGAGAGAACGACGATGAGGAGAAGAGTAAAGGATGAATGAGGAGTAGGAGAAGAATCAGGAGGAGAAGGAAGCAGGAATAGAGGAGAAGGAGGATACGTAGGGATTTGCTGATGATGATGCTGATGATGAGGAGGAGGAGGAGGAGAAGGAGGAGGAGGATGAAGAGGGGAAGCGGAGGAGGAGGGAATGAGGAGGAAAGGGGGATGAGGAGAGAAGAAGAGGGAAGAGGAGAAGCAGGAGGGTCGTGATGAGGCAGGGGGAGAGGAGGGGTGATGGAGGAGGAGGAGGAGGCGGAGGAGGAAGGAGGAAGAGGAAGAGGAAGAGGAGGAGGAAGGAGGGGAGGGAGGTATGAGGAGGAGGAGGAGGAGGGGGAGTGGAACAATGAGGAGGAGGAGGAGGAGGATGAGCAGGAGGAGGAGGCGAGTGGGGTGGAGGAGCAGGACGACAAGGATGATACAGACAACGAAAAGGAAGGAGGAGATGAGGAGCATGAGGAGAAGGATGATGATGATGAGGAGGAGGAGACGGAGCTAGAGGAGGAGGTGGAGGAGGCGGAGGCGGAAGCGGAGGAAGATGAGGATGAGGAGAAGGAGGAGGAGGATGATGATGAGGAGGAGGAGAGGGAAGAGGATATTGAGGAGGAGGAGGAGGATGAGCAACGGCGAAGGAGGAGGAGGCGGAGGAAGAGGAGGAGGAGGAGGAGGAGGAGGTGGAGGAGGAGGAGGAGGAGCAGGAGGAGGGGGAGGAGGAGAGGAGGAGGAGGAGAAGAGAGGAGGCGAACGGAAGGAGGGGGAGGCGGCGGATGACGGTGAGACGGACCGAGAAGTCGGAGGATAAAGGGACGAGGCTGCGCAGGGGAAGGATTGATACCGGGGAGGGGGAACAGGAACGGATGGGCGGACTAAATAATGACGGGAATGCTGATGATGCTGATATGATGACTGCTGAGATGATCCTGATGATGACACTGACGATGCTGATGATGGATGTTGATGAACGAGGAAGGTGTGAGGAGGTATTCAGGGAGGATGAGGAGGAGATAGAGGAGAGGAGGAGGAGGAGGCGGAGAAGGAAGGAGAGGAGGAAGGGCGAGAGGACGGAGTAGGAGGAGGTGAGGAGGATGAGGAGGAGGATGGAGGAGGAGGAGGAGGAGGTAGGAGGATAAAGATGATGGTGAGGAGGTAGGAGGAGGAGGAGGAGGTGAAGAGAAGTTCAGGAGGAAGAGGAAGGATATATGGATGATGGAGGAAGAGGAGGAGGAAACAGGAGGCAAAGGACGGGAGGAGGAAGCAGGAGGCCGAGGAGGAGAGGAGGATGAGGTGAGGAGGAGGATGAGGAGGAGAGGAGGATAAAGATGAGGTGGAGGAAGGAGGAGGGAGGAGGAGTTAGAGGAGAGGAGGAGGAGGAGGAGAGGAGGCGGAGGATAGGGCGAGAGGAGGAGGAGGAGGACGTGAGAGGATATGAGGAGGAGGAGGATACAGATGACGGTGCGGAGACGGAGGAGAAGGAGGAGGACGAGGAGGAGGAGGAGGAGGAGGAACAGAAGGAGGAGAGGGAAAATGATACCGAGGCGGATGCATCAGGCGGCAGAGAAGGACGATAAAAGCAGGCGGATGAGCAGATGCAGGAGGAGGATGAGGAGGATGATGAGGATGATGAGGAGCATAGGAGGGAGAGGATGAGGAGGATGAGGAGGAGGAGGAGGAGGAGGAGAATGATGCGGAGGAGAATGATGAGGAGGGGGACACGGAGGAGGAGG